ACCCCCCCCCCCCAATTAGGTGGGCTCCCGCGCATGGGATTCAGGAAGGCTTCTAACGATAGCGAAAGCTGGGAATCAGAACGATCCCACGAAAGGTAGACACTACACTCCTCCAGTTTGACCTTATAGATAAGCGTTGCAGCTGGTAAGCAATTAAGCGCATAGAAAGGAATGCATAACAATTACAGAGTCTCTTCCCCACTCATGGCTGCATAGCTGACAAACTGCTTGTTGGAAGCAAACCACACCGCGCAAATTTTCAAGCAAGTGGCAGTTTCAGTATCCATCGTCCAGAAGGGAACAGGCAAACCAAAACTTATAGACAAACAGCGCACTTATTATTCATTTTGGAATTCTGATCTGTTTAGGGATGCATTCCGGCCGCTCTGACAAGGGAAAGGCCACCCTGACGGTTTGGTGTCGTGGTGAAGTGCACGGTCTCTAATCTGGGAGACCCGGGTTTGATTCCCCACTCCTCCACTTTCAGCTGCTGGATGACCTTGGCCAAACCGTAGTTCTGACAAGAGCTGTTCTCTCAGGAGCAGTCCTCGAAAGAGCTCTTGACCTTATAGATAAGCGTTGCAGCTGGTAAGCAATTAAGCGCATAGAAAGGAATGCATAACAATTACAGAGTCTCTTCCCCACTCATGGCTGCATAGCTGACAAACTGCTTGTTGAAAGCAAACCACACCGCACAAATTTTCAAGCAAGTGGCAGTTTCAGTATTCATCGTCCAGAAGGGAACAGACAAACCAAAACTTATAAATGAACAGCGTACTTATTATTCATTTTGGAATTCTGATCTATTTAGGGATGCATTCCGGCCGCTCTGACAAGGGAAAGGCCACTCCGACAGTCTGGTGTAGTGGTTAAGTGCGCGGACTCTAATCTGGGAGACCCGGGTTTGATTCCCCACTCCTCCACATGCAGCTGCTGGATGACCTTGGCCAAACCATAGTTCTGACAAGAGCTGTTCTCTCAGGAGCAGTCCTCGAAAGAGCTCTCTCAGCCCCGCCTACCTCACAGGGGGTCTGTTGTGGGGAGGGGAAGGGAAAGGAGTTTGTAAGCCGCTCTGAGACTCCGAGTGAAGGGTGGGGTATAAATCCAGTCTCTTCTTCTTCTTCTAAATCACGGTGTTGGCAGGGGGCCCTTAGCATCACACCGGTGTTAAAATACCAGAATAGCGGTCCAGAATAGCGGTCAGTCCAGAAATCGGATGGTCCTGACGAAACCCAGACCCCCTCCCTTTTCTGACCAGAAGACTCTGACCAGAGTCATTGTATTACTAGGTTAAAAACACCCTCCCTGTCAAGGCAGGCGCTTGGAGCCACAGGTCCTCCTATCTAGATGTTTCGGGTTCGAGGCTGGAACTCAGAGATGTAAGCGGTTCTTTTAGGGCAGGGTGCATGCTGCAGAGCCTACTGCATACATAAGAACATAAGAGAAGCCAGTGTTGGATCAGGCCAAGGGCCCATCGAGTCCAACACTTGGTGTCACGCAGTGGCCAAAGATATTGATGCCACATTGTCCCTGACAAGGCAATTTTTTGCACTCTTAGGACCTAAACTGGAAGGCACATATTATTTCCAGTATATTCAACTTCTTCTGACACAAGGCCAGATCTACTTGTAGCCCCAAATAGAAACTTTTTGGTGCGTCATTCAATTCCATATTGGAACGTTCCAACTTTGGCCCCATTTTATTTAGTTTATTAATTGTTAACTGCCTTACATGTGTTTCAGGGACTCTGTTGCTTGTTGTATTTTGCACTATTTGACCTCTGAAGAAGGCTCCTGTGAGCCAAAACACATCAGGTCATACACTGTCCTTTTTGGGCGTATTTGTAACTTTGAACATTTTATGAGGCTTTATTTGGGCCCCTACTAGGTTTTTATATGTCTTTGTTGTAAACACTCTTTTGTACACTTAGTTAGTTTTTAACTTTTGGCCCTCAATAAGCCATCAGGGAACTCACCAGTGGGGCCAGGACACTAGAAGCCCTCCCACTGTCATCCCCCCCCCCCAAGCACCAAGAAATACAGAGCATCCTTTGCCCCAGACCACGAGTTCCTATCTATCCCTGGTGGCTAATAGCCACGGATGGACCTCTGCTCCATACGTTTATCCAATTCCCTCGTGAAGCCGTCCATGCCTGTAGCCACCGCCACCTCCTCCTTGTCAGCTATGCTGCCATGGGCGTTGGGGAGTTTCTTCTGTGTCTTGTTACTTGCTATTGCATTCCTATCCCTGCTGTTCTGCTTTAGATGAAACACTTATCTCCACAGATGTGCAGGAGGCGTATGTGTTGTCTGGAGCTTTTCTCTCTACCGTGAGAGATTCCTAATTCCC